AAGATCCTTGCTAAAAAGTATGTAGTTTCTAATTTCAACAAATACCAAAGCTTTGGTCAAATTGAATTTCGAATGAGTGTAGTTAACCTAAACCTATTATCACAAACTCATTTAGAATTTTTCTGATACTGTTTTTATGTAGGAGTGCGACAAGCTAGTTGCCTTTGATGTGAGTCTAATAGTAACTCTGAAAAAAACAAACTTAATGGTTGAGTTCTTTCTACATTTGTTAATCTATGGCCCCTAGTAAAGTTCCCTTTAGGTGAGATAACCCGACTAAATAATTATCACCAATCTTGAGGGAAAAGTAAGAAAGAGAAGTCTACACAAAATGTTTACTTAATTTGCCATGGCCACAAAAACCACGTTACTAAAGAATGCCACACTAGCAAACATTTTATCCCGAGACTTCCATGGTTAAGGTGTCGTATCCACAATTTCGAGGTTCTGACTGGGCTTGCAAAGCAATGCGGTACGCCCAAGTATTCCCTCTATATGCTAGTCCCTTTCTCCTAGTCGCCATTAGTGCGGACCGATATCAGGTAGGAATCAGCTGTGATATAATTTTATAGTCAATCTTTTTTACCAAAAAAGATATATCTCATTTTCAGGCCATTTGTCGACCATTGGCAAATATTCGATCGTCTCGCTTTCGGCGGCCAAATTGTTTCGCTGCTGTTGCTTGGGTGCTAGCACTACTCTTCTCAATTCCTCAACTTCTCATTTGGAAGAAGAAGTAAGATTTCTACGATAATATTTGCTTTTGACTGCTGTATCATCTTGATTTCAGAGAAAATGGTGAATGTGCAACATTTTATGGGAACAAATCTCATTTGCTCAAAAATCTATACGTCATCGGCTTCAACACAATAGGTAACAGATTTTCCAAATTTCTTGGAAATACCATTTAGCCAGACCGTTCACTAAGAATAATGCATAATCTTAACTGTTGTGCTTTGAATTTGAAGGCGTGCCGAGTTGTTTTCGTATATATCGCCGGTCAAAAAAGAATTCATTTTGTTTCACGGTGGTGGTACTGTTTCAAAAACATAAGAAGCACTTTTGTACCGGCGGTGTTAGTAACCTGCGGCTTATGTTAGTCAAAAAGAGACATTGAAACGGTAAACTGTCCCTCGTTGCAGCTCTTGCAACTCCTCATTTCGAAATCAGAGAAGCTTCTTTCCTTCAGTGGGATCGTCAATGAGCTCTCAGTGCTAGCGTTTACATCCTATCGGAATTCTACAGTGTGAAGTATAGTAGAGAATGGTTATGATAATCGAACTTAGCGTATCAAACTCTCCCAGTAATTGATCATGTACAACCTTTAAATGATTACAAAATGCTTGAAACTGCTTTATCTCACGTGGCGAAAAACAAGAAAATGGACGTTGTCGTCAATATATTAACATACACCTGAAACCTATGCACTAACGCAATTTAAATGTCCCTAAAAACTGCCTACTGTTTGATTAATAGAAACTTTTTATTTTAGATTGTTTTCTAGGCGCTGCTTTGCAGTATAATAAAAGCTAATGAAAGTTCAGTTTTCCCCTAATTTTTCATTGGAACCGAATGGAGCTTAGCATTACTCTGATAACTTGGGTAAGCTATAAGGGCAACCAGATTTAAGAAAATGCGGCAGAATCAAACACCAGCGGAACTTACATATTGTATGCATTCTCGTCAAAAAGTTCGCAAAATTACACATCAACATGGAAATTAGCCGCACTGATACAAATTTGCTTTGTTATCCTATACGAGTTTTCAGCTTGGCTTCTTCCGTCCATATTCGCCGCGTGTTTTTACTACTGCGTCTGCAAAGCTGTATGGATGTCACGCTCAAAAGCCGCCACGTCTCAGGATGCGAACAAACTTGAGCCGAAGAAAAGGTACACGACTTTGTTGGCTTCAATGGGTTGAAGAACAGATTAAAAGAGAGAACAAGTTATGGAACAAATAGGGTTTCAGAATAACTCTGAAATTATAGTGATGCAACGCAAGATTACATTGAGAGGTTGCGGAAGAAATCATGCGGGCATAGACGTCAAAATTCCGAATTTGACCGCAAACGGGTACAAACAGGTGAGCTAAGAGCTGATGCATACCATTTAAGACGATTAATTTCTTAAACGCATATAATTTAACTGCGCATAATACACTGAATTCAAAACAAAAGTTAAGATTTATAACCCTTTCGGAACCCAACAACATTCTCGGCGTAATTTACACTGAGAAACTGCGCAGGTGATATTTATTTGAGTAGAGCCTAAGTTTTTTGATCATTAAAAAAGCATGATATTGCAGTAAATATTTTTGCTGTGGAACATCGAAAACTTTTGTCATTTGATTACCAATTGTTTTCAAATTTTTGCCTACAGGCATGATACCATTGCAAAGATCCTTCACCAAAAATTGTAGCATACTTCATTTCTGAAAATATAAGGTAAATTTTTTTTGAGTGGGTTCAAGTGTAACAAATTATTTCTATTAGGAAAAGAATTTGGGAGCAGTAGAACGCTAAATTGAGCTAGGCACCGACTCCTTTTCGCTTTAAGAACGTTCCGAAGACGATCTACAATGTTGCAACTCGGATTTTTTTTAG